AACAGCTGGATCGCGGATAGACATAATAATTACAGTAACTTACTCGAAGCACAAGAAATGGACAGGATGCTCTCCAACATTGCCATGTCACATTGACGCCTGATGCCATTTGTTTCTTGAAGCCTGGAGGCTGGCGATTACTTGGCTAGATCCACAAATGCATTTGCTCGTTTAACCCCTGGAGGCTAGTGTCCTTTGCATCAAATAATTCATGCAACATGCCTAAGGACGAATTGGGGGATAAAAGTAATCCTCCATGGACAGCACCCAAATGTTCAGAGTTGGAGCAACTTGCTTAAATGGTGTCTGGTGACAGTCACACGTGTCAACAGTCTAGGCTTGGCTAGACCACTAATCGTCAACTTGACGTTTACAAATGATTGCCTTCTTTTGAAAACTTGCGGTCCTGGAGCATCGCAAGCTTCAATGGCATGATCCTTAACAACGGTGCACAAACTCTCAAGTAGGAATCGGCAGGTATCCACCACCAATACTTGTCTAACTCTCTAAAATTCACCCCTGCTTCTATTTACGAAAGTACGAAAGCAGCTAGTGAAGTGGTTGTATAGTACGTTTGTCTTGGAGTTCAAAGAAATCGATTGGGCAGTTTGGCAGTGGGGGGTGCAGCTCAGTTTCCTCAGTCTCATATGCCTCACTCATGAGCCGAAATCCAGGATTCTTGTGCCTGTCATAGGTTTGTCACTGTCATGTCAAGTTGCAACATCACAAGCTGAGGCTGGTTGATGTGTCCAATGTGTGATGGCTTATCATGCCGCTGATGACTTGCTTGCACTCGGCAAAATCATAGCCCCAAAAAGAGGAAGGTCGGTGGTAAGTGGCTGCGACGAATGCTATATACTAGTGGGTGTACACCGAAAATACGTTTGCAGAAAGCTGGGTTCCCAGAAACGTCAAGGGTTATGTTCCAGAAAGCTGGTGCAGAAAGAACATCATTGCTGTATGCCCATTGACCGAGGTGAAAAAAACAAGTGACATTGCAAGAGAACATTGGTTGCTGGTGAAAGGGGGCATCCTTTGGTGAGTACCAGAATGTTACACAAATCCACTGCCAATCAGAATTTTTTGTCTGATCATTTGGGCTCGTCACCAGGCTCGTCCATTCCCTTGTGTTTTGGTCTTAAGCTCCTGCATTCTCAGCTCAAGCTTATGGTATGCAAATCGTCGACTCAGATTGTCGGCCTTGCCACTCCTTTCAAACCTTACAGGTCCCAGGTGTGTCCACGAAGCGTTCCACGAGCTGTTCATGAAGCGTTCTACACAAAGCTCACGTTGGAAGCACGCTCTTTGCCTTCATGTTTGTCATCCCTTCGAAGCGTCCACATTTGTACACCATAGTAATAGTGCTTTGGGTAAGGATAGCGGTGTCATATATATATACACAGCATCTTAATGACTTGTATATATATATATATTCTATCATCAATCAATTATATTTCGTGCAAGCCCACCCTGGCCTTAGGGCAGGATCGCACAAGAAGAACACGCGCTTGCAAGCACGGATAAAGTCGGGGTTGAACGTGGCGTTGATGGTGAACCCGGCACAAAGACAGCCTGAATGCGCTAATGTGCTCCAATGATCCAAGTGCCCTCAGAAATCATCCGGTGCTGGTTTCCACAAATCGTCTTGAGTTTCGATCAGCTCCTTTGGCTGGCCTGGATTACAGACCGAGGAGACTTCAAGGGTTCATGGTAATCTCGATTTTTGGAAGATTGGAGAGTTGCGTTCTCCTGTGCCTACATTATGTGTCTACATGTGTCTACCAGTTTATATACATCGCAACTTCAGGTGGTCGAAATGCTTCCTCCACAACATCTTGCCAGATGTAAAATGACCCACATATATGTTGGAATAGGATGGAAAAGGCATGAGCAGACTTGGGCTGACAATGACAAAGCCGTTCAAAAACGAACAGCTGAGAGCTGGAATAGTTGCCAAGGAGCCATGAGGATGGAATCCCAGGAAGCTCTTTTCCGGGCGGATGTCATCCAGTGCTCCCCGCAGAGCGGTGCTAGAGTAATAATCCTGAAACACAACCAGTTGAGTTCTGATTTGTGCGACGAGTGCGGGGTTGTGTCAAGTCAGCAAAAGATTACTTCATTGTACTACATCGACAAAGCCAGAAAAGCAGTGATTGACACAACTTGGGACTCCAGGCAACAACATTGTCTTGGCTCAAAAGTCCAAGCATTGCCTGCGCTTGAAAGCACAAGAGAAACAAACCTTTGCCTTGGCCCAGGTGCTCACATATTTGAACAGCCATGGTCGTGGCTGGATCTTGCCTGCACATGCGCTGCCACCTTCGTGTTTCTCATTGGGCACCTTCGTGTTTCTCATGGGGTTTGCCCTTTGTTGGGTTCCTATGTCTAAAACCTAAGCCACTGGATTCGAGGGACTCATCACAGGTCCCAAGTGGCAAAGCTTGGACCAAGGTAGCCGGTCCTAGCTGACAGTGAACAGAGTGGGTGGGAAGTTGCTGGGAAGTTATGATGAGAATCACATTCTGTTAAAACATGGGAATCTATGGAGGCCATTGCTCCTGGTTGGTTGCCACCGCTATGAATTAATTCGGTTGGAGGTCAATGCTTTCTGTTCTTGCCGATGGTCCAAAGATGCCGAAAGAGAACACGAAGGCACCGGTGACAGCCGAAGCGGGCGCCTCTGCGGGTGACGAGCCAAGTCAAAAAGCTCGCGAAGAGTGCTGCTGCAATGGCCTGAGTGCAAAAGCCAAAACAAAAGCACAGGATATCACAGGATCCCTTGTTGGCATGCTCGATCATGCTCATGGCTAAGCTGGTGCAATTGAAAATAGGATTGCAACTAGGTAGCAGGAGCTTTCTTCGAGCTGCCAGCCAAACCAATGACCAAGAGGCACAAAGCCTGGGGTGGTGATAAGAGGCAACATCAACCAGCGTCCAAAGCTTGGATCTTGAAGCTGATCAATGTGGGCAATTATATAGTATATATATATATATATAGTCTATCTTTCATATCGAAGAAGTGCCATGTCACTTCTTCGACGGCGCTATGTTTTTTCGACAGCAGAGGTATCACCATGATATTTTGAAGCCTGCGTTATTGTTTGCCTCCTTGTCACTGCATCAAGCGTTTCATGTCCCTTTCTGGATATAAAGAGCTGCGGGTTGCATGGACATCCTGGCAATTTTTGACACTCCAAAAGCAACTGGACAAATGACCAGAAGTTATCTTGCCATGTGCGGCCTATTGGGCTCTCCAGGCCTCTTCAGTGAATGTCTCAGACTTCGTTGAAACTTGAGAAGTAACATGAGGATGCCTTCCCATACCAAATAAAGCTCTGTATATACTACGTACTGGAGACGTTCGACCCGGATTGCCAAATCAGATTTGCTCAATTCCATGGCAATTTTATGGGGGGGCCTTTGGTTGATATATAAAATGGTTCAGCTCTATAGAAGTGTTCGTGCTGGCTCTAGTCACATGGAAACAGAGCCTGCAAAGGGATGGCATCAGTACACTCTGAGGGTAGATTGAGAAAACCAATGTCAGAGTGTGTGTGTGTGTGTGCGTGTGTGTTATCAAGCTCCTTCAGCATTGTCTAGACCGTTTTCATTCTCTTTGAAAGAAGACATATATATATATCACTATTGCCTATTGCCCACATTCAGGCAAGCACAAAGCGGTTGCATCCACTCGTAAGAGGGACGAAGCACGAAACATTCGCATGTGCTGGTCTGGGCGCGTCCTCAAGTGAAAAGCAATCAGAGAATTCATGAAGTGTTGTCTGAGCAACAGGTCGCAGCTTCTTCGGACCTGACACAAGCCCCGCCATCAGGCCTGGCCATACAACTTGGGGGATGCAAACTGCAGTCCAGCATTTGGCACAGTGAAACATCATGACTACAGTGCAGAAGCAAACGCGGTGGAAGGGTAGCCTTCAGCTATTGCAAAGATGTAAACCAAGGTGCATTCTATTGAATTCTTGTTTCTAATAAGTTATTGTTCCTAGCAGAAAGGCCAGGAGCCCCTAGTAGCGTCCTTGCTCCTAGTAGCGATGCCAGGAGCCCCTAGTAGCTTCTTGTTCCTAGTAGTACAGCCAAGGCAGGCCAAGGCACCCAGCGCAACAAGGATGCCAATGATCCCGAGTGGAGAACATGCCGTGGCCAATGAGCCAAGGAGCAATCCTTCGGTTTTCGGAGCTGTGATGAGCTGTGCACAGTCTGTGGAGCTTTTAAAGAAAAAAGCTCCAAATCCTTCGAGGCATTGAAAAACCTTTGTGCCTCAATACTCAGTGTCTACAACCTTACAACCTCTAGATTGGCATTCCAAGGGTCTTAGTTAAAGTTCTCTGTTTTATGCGCTAAAGGTGCTGAGTCGACCTAAAGCTCTCCTGGAGGGATCACCCATGCTGGCACAATGAGCAAATGTGCCAGCAAGCCATTCACCTCAGCGAATCGTCAAGCGGGGCAGAAAAGCGAATCCATCGATTCTCAACATCCGACCAAAAAGAAAAGGACAGGTGACAACCTGGTTCTGCCGCTTTAATGTAAGAAGGATGACAAAAACAAACGGTTGAAAGGATTGCAAGGGTCTAATCATAGTCTAATCATGCGACGGTTGCAGGTGAATAGGTGACGACCTTGAGGTCTGCAAAGGGCGGCGTTCAAACACAGGGCTCTTTGGCATCGGAGCTTGGCCAAGGAGCAAAACTCCCCTGCCGAATCATCGGACCACTTCGCGGCTGATCCCAGGGCGGACGGCTTAAGCCAATGGCTGCGGCGCCACGGTCGCTCAACGGGGGTTCTGCTTCTAGACACCAGGCTACTATCGATGGCCTGCAACCCTAGTAGCGATGGCCTCCAACCTGCTTGCGATGGCCTCCAACCTAATGGCGATTGGTTCTGCACTGTTTCTTTTCCTTCAACCCTTTTGAAGATGGATCGCATTTGTCGCGCACATCCATTCATTTCTTGAGTCTCACTGTCGTGCAACCTTGACGGGCCTTGGTCTGGTCTGAGCTTACTCTTGGCCTGGTAGCGAGAGAGAGAGAGAGAGACAGAAGAAAAAGAGAGGGAGAGTGAGACATGTGACATGTTGTTCATTGTTGGTGCGCCAACACCATTGGCGACTTTGTGCATGAAAAGATTCCCGCAAGCTTGGCATCTTTCTTCTTGGATCATTGTGGGCTCCAAGTCGAAGGTTTTGGCTGGTCTGTTGGCTCTGAAGGATCGTGGATCGCATCTGGTCTCGGCGTGTTCAACAATATGGTCCAAGACGGAGGTCTCTGGTGGAACACACTCTCTGTCACCCACGGCCTTACCTCCGCGGTATCGGAGGGACTGTGAGGCCTGAAAATCAAGTCACCAGAAGGACCCAAACAAACTTCTTGAGCAGGGACGCTACTAGCAACAAAGGGCACATTGTAATCGAATGCAAGGTGCGTATTGTCTCCAATGCACTGTGCACGGTCCTCGTGCCTAGTGGTTTCACGGTGCTTGGTTGATGAACAGTGCTGTCCACACATTCAGTTTCAAGCGTTGGAAAGAGAGGAGGTTATAGCTGCTGCCTAGACACGGTCTTTCAGCAACAGCAAGGAAGTGGTGGGCACAAGGGAACTCCAAGGTCACTTGAGTTTCCATTGCTCATTTTTCGATACGTAATATATGTTGACTCACACCTTCAAGACACATCACCAAAAAATGTGCATGAATTTGCACATGCATGTCTGCGCACACAACAGCCAAAGGGCACGTTTGCCTAAAGTGAGCTTCAACGATTGAAAATGAACCGAACTCAAGGGGTTCAACTTGCAGTGATAGTTGCCAATGGGCTTGTCTTTGCTAGTGTTGCATCATTCCATCCTGTGCTTATGTGACCCAATTCTGCACCCGGCAGAGCTTACGTTACGTTTGGTGCCGTAACTCTGGAGCCTCGCCATCCTAGAGCAGCTTCGAGCTTTGATGTGTCTAAGCAGCTTTAAGTTGTAAGAGTGATGCGAAAAACAGCAATGGTCAAAAGCGTTTGCAATATCTTTGAACCTATGCTCTTATTATTGTTTCTTGTCTTGAATCAAGCAAGGCTTTCTGGATTGACGGTTCAAAAATTGTCCAACAAAAAGCAGTCGTGGGATTCAAGGAATTGCTGAGCTTCCCTGGATTCCTGGATCGCATCAAGAGATTCATATGTGACAACTGGGATGATGGCAGCCATGAGTTTCTGCTGTTTTGTCTTGCTTAATGGCTCCCCCTTGCCGCTCTTAGAGTTTACAGGCTGGCAGTCTTCTTTCAGGCGCATCATTGCGAATTGCCTCAACAAAGGCAGAAACAAACATGTTGGTGTTCATGAGTGATTGCCCCGGCTGTTTGAACGTTCCAGGCACAAGGTAAAATGAGCAGTCATGAGTTTGGTAGTTGAATTCCTCCAACCACAAACCTATTCGTCTCGTAGTCTTCTCCAGAGAATGACAATGCCAGTAACGAGAGACATAGTTGCTGTAGCACTACCAACGCTAGGCATCAAAACAGGATGTCATTCAAGCAACTGCGCATGTGCAACGGTCTGTCCCCGTTGTCATTTACACCAATACACCGGCACGCTCTGTTTGCAGCTCGTTTGTGCGCGTGTGCAAGCACTAAAAGATCTGTAGCCCAAAGAAACATAACATGTTCTCAGTTCTTTGTCATTTCTCCTAATTCTTCTTCAGCCCTTTACACTCTAGACCTGTCCTTGTGCTTCTTTAAACATTTTGCTCAACACATTGCTGGTTCGTTCTGCCTGGGTCGCTTCTTTCCTCGAGGTAGGCTCCCAGTTTGCATCTCAATGCCATTCATCAGCTGCCACCTCATGCTGTTGTCAGGAGCTGATCAGTCCATGCTCACAGGTGTTTGATGCATGTACTGCGATATCCTAGTGACATAAAAATGCTGCCCAGGAAATGAATCGCCTACAATTCTTGTGCAAGATATCTTGCCCCAAACTAAATCGTGTGAAACGCATTTCCCAGCTTGGGAAATGACAGACTGTCGGAATCAGAAAACCCAACCATTCCCAAGCAAGTCATTGACAAGCATACGTTTGATGAGTTTGCGCAATAATTACTTGATCATACTTGCGATGATGTATGCAGGTCCAGGTCAAGTGTCTCATTTCTTGGCCGTCCACGTTATCCACCATGTGTCCACAGCATCTCAAATCCTGCATTTTGTCAGTTCTACAAGCCTCGTGCCTCTGAATAGAGATCCCATTTCCTGCAAGCCATTGCCTGGCCAACGGTGGAAAGCTCCAAATCTTGCACGTGTTGAGAATTTAGAACCTCTCAAAATCCACAACCACAGGAAGCTGAGCGGTAGTGCACTGAAGCACGACACATTTTTCCGCCAGTTGGATCTAGCCTTTTGGAGAATTAAGCATCCGGCACAACTGAGGAAGACGTCCATTCACAAGATATGATACAAGTTCAAAAGGAGACTTCTGGAACCACATGCGGAACATGATCGAAGGCAATTCATGTACCTCGAACCGGTTGAGGGTCTCCTGTGACAGAAAGTACCCTCTTGAAATGTCACATTTAACAAGAAGAGTGGTCTGCAGGCTCAAACATTGCGCTGCATCTCAAGCATACTTCGGGGTCCTTGGCCGCAAAGCTGTTGTGCAGAATAAAAAGCAGCTCAGATGTGCCAAAGCATCAAATACTCATAATTTATGCTATTCGGTTTGGGCAAAGGTCTCTGCATAAATGCAGTGTTCCAGTCATGGACAGTTCCACCAGTGAGAGTTGTTTAGTTGCTTGGAAGAACCACATCATGTTAATACTGAGACTTGCCCAATCCTGCCATTCAAACGGTATCGAAGCTCAAAAAGCATTCGAGTTCTGCTTATAAAATTTCCAGATGTGAATCAGGATAGCCTGCATCCGCCTCACACGTGACCCAAACAGTCGTGGCTTTGTCTTGTCAAGCAGGCTAGTGATTTGGCTGAACCTGCCCAACTCCTTCTGACAACTAAATGGGATCATAGCACATAGCGTAGGCTGGAAGGATTCATTGATGCTGGTTTGCCTCACCTCCTCGCTCTTGTCTGCGAACCGACACAAATGTAGCTATGGCACGAGACACGCCCAACTTCAACGAGTGGCGCTTTCAGTTTGTTGTGCTGAACTGAACATGTGCATTCTCCTAAAGGTCAATTGTCGGGCAATGTATGGCAAACATCAGTTGGTGGTTTCTCTACTTTGCAACCAGCACCTTGTTGTCATCAAAAAGCTTCTGCAGCCCTTCAACATAGACCTGCCAGTCAAGGGTCTCAAACTGCTGATGAGTCCCAGGTGCAGCTGTTGAGTCCAGCTGTTCATTCCCTGGAAAGCACCAAAACCCTAAAGTGATTCGTCCTCCCAAGACTGTGCTGACCAGAATCAGGATCCACAGTCTGCTAGTTTTCTTCTGTATGGTCTCACAGACTAGTAACAAGAAGCTACTAGGGTTGGAGGTCATCGCAACTAGGGTGGAGGCCATTACTACCAGCAACAAGAAGCTACTTAGTAACAAAGCACCTTACTACTAGTAGCAAGAAGCTCTATCATTGGTGCTTCGCCTTGTGCCAGTGATCCACATCTTCCTGAGTCGGCGATGGAATGTGCGGAATATCAATGCCAGGACCAACCTCAGTCGGAGCTAGGCTCAAGCCCCAAACGTGATCCAAATCCATCCCCACCCTCTTGTCCTTTCTCTGCATTGGCCAAAATGAGGCGTGGGTGTACTCCTCTTTGCAAGGCTTTGTGGTTGGCTTTAAAGAGACTATATCATACCTGCCTGCATATTACAGCTGTTACGAAATACGAAATGTTGCATAAAACCTTCGACAAGCTGCGTAAGTGATGATTTTCGACTGGGGTCGAGGGAGGAAAGGCACAAGCGGCCAACCAAAGAAGGCAAGTGCAGGCACATTTTGCGCGGCCTCGGCAAGCGAATGACTCTGCCAATGGGAGTATATAATTCATTTGTCGGCCAACAGTATGCATTATTCTGATTATTCCCGGACAACATTCGCTTCTGATACAATATCATAGGATGCCTGTCCTTTCTTGCGTTTGGGGAAAGATCACAAACCAAAACAAAAACATCGTTGTAATCCAATCCGATCATCCAGGCCTGTTGATCCGTGTTGGCTGTGAGTGGAACCTGCAACACTCATGTCTGTGACAAGGGACCACCTTCATGCGCAAGGATTTGAGTCCTTTGAAGGTGTAGTACCTTGGCAAATCAAGAAGCGCTGTGCCCACGCTGCGCAGGGTTAGTATGAGATGCTATGGGAGGCAGGCATGGGTTCGTTTCGTGTTTCCAACGGCAGTACATGTTGGCAAAGTTTCCTACAACGTCTAAGATTTGTTTCTGCCTTTCTATGGCGAAATGACATTGTCAACTCAAGTCAACAGCTGCCCTTTGGTATCAGGCCTGCACAAAATTCTGGCATCGTCCAAAGATGTACTAGTAGGACCTTCGTTGGCAAATGGCTGCGCTTCGCTCGACCCACCATGGAGCGCTTAGCCATATGGCCCAACCCGTCCGAGATGCGTCTCGCACTCCCCGAAGGTGTAAACCGGATGGGTTCTGTAGCCGAACCTTGGCACCAAGCTCGCGGCAAAACAACTGGCAAAACGACCAACCAAACGACAAACGACTTCAGTTCTTCTCAACAAAAGAAAGACTTCCAATTCCAATGCCTAATAGGATCTATATAGTAGTAGGTACATATTACATGGTGCAGGTATGTGCAGGTCCTTCCTCCCTGCAGTGCAGCCTAGACGGGAAACCCACGAAACTACATTTGCACTCGCCAAGCTTCTGCAGGCAATACTTGATGAAGCCCTTCTTGCTCGAGAGGACACAAACATCCTTCCATGAGTCACAAGTCACTAGGTCTTCCAACATGAACATTGCTTTTGGAAGAACAAAGGCATACAGGGCAATCTTTCAAACTATCTCCGTTGCCAAAGGCAATGATGAAAATTTGTGTTGTGAAAGCAGGCTTGCAAGGCAGAGTATGTCCAATATTGACCTTTTTGAGAGTCGTGGAGGAACCTGAAGCAATCACGAAGCCTTCGGCTCATGCAAGTGGGGGGCTTCCTCTCCTTTCCGAACTCAAAGGCGACTGCGTCCATGAAACCACCAGGAATGAAGGCAACCTTGAATGGCAAAGCTGCATTCGTAAGGATCTTTGCCGTGCATATGCCCAAGCTCCTTATATATATATATATATAATTGTGGTAATATCTCGCCAACCAATGAACAGGTTGAAGCGCTACCACAGGCTAGGTCACGTAGCCCTTCTCGTAGAAAAAAACAACTGGCTAGATCACGTTGGGTCACTAGGTGGATATGTGTGCTAGACCAGCCAGATCTTCAATCCCCACAAATCCTACGTTGGCCAGGTCACATTCACACCTGTGGCCATGTGGGTCTTGAAGCCTAGCAGGAGCCCAACAAGTACATGGAGAAAAAATTGCAAAAAAGACTGCCTTACACGTCATTTTATGCCACGTAGTTTTGTGCAACTGCCTCAACACAAGACTGTCTGGCCCAAACCCAAATCGGTATCAATAGGATCTGCTCGCAGCCTTTGAACAACCTCTCAAGCCTCAAGTCCCCAGGCCTAGGATCCCTTCACAAAGCAAATGTTCCAAACCGGCTTCGTGCAACTAACCAGCAAAAGATGCTTCTGAGTTCGGACATAGCAAGATTTCCCCAAGGGCAAACGCCTTCTGCATCGCACGCTTCAATGGCACGATCCTAAGAGCACAAAACAAAGGAGCACTTGATCCCTCGATTGTGGCAAAAGACATACATATATATATATATGACGAGGAGCAAATAGCTACTAGTAACAAGAAGCTACTAGGGGCTCCTGGCATCGCTACTAGGAGCGATCGGACGCTACGATCGGGGCTCCTGGCCATACTACTAGTAACAAGAAGCTACTACGAAGGTGTGCTGCTGACTGATACGTTTGCGGCCCAACTTGTGTGCCATCCCTGGCACCTTCGACTTCTTTGCAATATGACTCACCGAGCAGGGAAAACAACAAGCGTATCCAATCGTGTTGCTTTTTTAACATGCCACTGCTTCTCAGCTTCATCTGCTTCATATGCCTCGCTCATCAGCTGAAATCCAGGGTTCTTATACCTTCGGCCGTGGGACCCCACGCGTGGGACCGAGATGCTGGTCACAAGAAAGCAACATCTGTTTGCCTTCCTTGCACTATGTTCAACATATTGCTCTTGACTTGACCCAGCTTTCCATGGTGGCAACACATTGCAGTTTTTCCTTTTTGGCTGTCAGGTCTATTGAAAGCCTGAAGTCTCTAGGGGGTGATTCTACAGCAAATACACTACATGATGAACAGTCTCGGTGCTGGCCTTAGAGCAGGATCACAAAGAAAGAAGATACGTGTGCAGGCACGAATGAAGTCCGCATTGTAGCAACAGTTGATCGTGAAGCCCGCACAAAGGCAGCCTTTGCCATGCACACGGAATGGAGCACTTGATGCCAACCCTCCAAGTGGCTGCTATTTGGTGAGAGTGGCTGCTTGATACTGAATGGTGACGGTGGTTCTGAACAAACGGAACAATCTAGGTCCTTTGCAAAAGCTCCAGAACAGATTTCAGGAACACCCAGAGAAACTCAGGAACAGGTAGCAGCGTGCTGGAGGCACTCTCTGCCCTTAAACAGTTCACATAATTCACAAACAAAGGAAGGCTGACGCAGCATCAATTACCATGCCTAAAACGACACTGTGACGCTTCATTACGCTGACATGACACAGCTTCTGGCACTGATGCTTCTGGCATCTTCTGGCTATGCAGACCACATGCTGGCCACCAAGATGCCGTGAGGGTGGAAGCCCAGGAAGCTCTTGTTGGGACGAATGTCGTCCAGCGCACCACGCAAAGCTGTGAAGGAATAATAGTCCTCGAGAAACACGTCCAAACATCGATGTCACTGTCAACATGTCCGAACATCCAACAGACATGCTGGAAGCTCATCTCTTTTCCGGCTTTAGTTGATCTCTTGACTGGCCTTGGCCCACTTATTGACAAAGTCGAAGAGCCAGGGGAACCGGGGAATCTTGCCTGTCACACAGCACTGTGCATTGACAAGCGAACTTGGCTGGTGCATGGATTAGAAACCCCAACCCCCACCCCCTGAACTGCAAACAGAAGTTTAAAAACGAACAAAACGGTCCTTGAATCCCACGTCTTCAATGGACCTCTCTTGGTGAAAAGGACATTCATTTTAAGGTGGAGATGCCAAGAAAACCACGAAAGGATTCACAAAGAAAAGAAACAGGAATGCCATTTCTACTAGGAACGAGAAGCTACTAGGGGCTCCTGGCATCGCTACTAGGAGCGATCGGACGCTACGATCGGGGCTGCTGGTCTTACTACTAGGAGCAAAGGACGCTACTAAAGAAACAGGAATGTCTCCATTTTTCTTCATCTTCCGTTCCATCAATCCATTGGCCGGGTCGACCTGATCGCGTCACCAGCCACGTCAAGAACGATGCCACTGCTGCAGCGCCAACAGCCTCATTCTTTGCAGAACACGGTTGAACATGGCCTTGCTTTGAACGAAATACAAATGGTTGTCAATGGCTGTAAGGATATAGATGTGTATAGTATGGGTTCATGAAGAACATGGCACCAACCATCAAGGACTAAAGCTTCGTGCAAAATTCATCTCGTACCTGAACGAACTTGGCACGACATCGTCACAGTGCGCTACGAACTGAAATGAAGGCAAAATTAATCGGCAAATTGTGTTCTGTCCATTGGGATTACCACAAGCATGTGAGATGTGGCAGGTAGCAAAAGGCAGTATTTCAAGTAATGCAACTTGCTCGTGCAACATGTTTATAACCAGACTGGACTGGGCTTCATCTAGTTAGTCGTATTGTATGTTTTATAAATCATTAATCAGTCTTGGAAAGTGTGTCCTTGTGTCAGTATGTGTGCTTTTGAACCGACTTACAACCTCAAATATTTGACTTTTAAAAAAACGGACAATTGGTTGTCGGTGGGCGATTACAAAAAAAGTCTGGGAAGGCGGTGCTCGTAAATCGTGCCATGCTCATAAATCGCCATAGGTTGGGGCCTTTCTGGCCCTTTTGTTTACATTGCCATGTGCTATTTTGTCAAGCTGTCCTGACATGCCTTTGTCGCCTTGACCCTCTTTTGCTTTTCGTTTCCATAACAGCATTGGATACTTTAAATAATGCTATGTATTGACGTAATGAACTTTCCTTTACTAGACTTACTTTAATAGCCTTACTTCTTAGCCATGCATAGACCTTATTGATTGCCAAAAAGAGTTGTAACATTGTCCACATCATTTTCTGAATGTATAATTTTGTATGTTCTAGTGTCTATGTTGTACATTGCCCAAAACACAGCCATGTACTAACCACTTAAAGTCTTTAACTCAAGTTGTGAGAGGACATGTTAACTGTGTTGTATGCCACTTGCTAAGTTGTAAAAATTGCTGCGATAACAATCATGTCGAGGTATGTAGTACAATTCTTCCACTCCATCGGGATCATCCGCCAAGCCATCCGTCAGTGCCAGCGCAATCTGCACCAGTCAACATTGGTAATATATGCGCCTGCGTGCCCGCGCTAGTTCTATCCAAGGCAAATATGAGGCTTGCCCACCCACAGATCTCACAGCAAGAAGAAGCAGAGCCAAATGTAACACCCAGACCCCCCAGACACAACAACACGCACAACTGGTTACATCTCTATAACTTTAACCACAACCTTCAAAAAATTGATGAAGTGCCAAAGTGTACCAGTCAAATGATCCAGTTGTTGAAGGTAAAGGAGACAAGAAGGCAATAGAAAGGAGCACAAAAAGATAGGGGAGGAGAGGAAAATACAAAGAAAAATGAATGCGGCTTGAATTGAGGAAGCAGCACATCTACCATTGCGACCGACTTAAGGAAGTTACCAAGAACATGGTAAGCACAATTTACATCTCTCCTTGCAGGAGTTTTAGAAAAGTTTGGGCCACTGCCAACGTAGAAGGGTAGACAGAGGAAATACCATAGATGTAGAGAAAAGAAGGGGAGAAACAAAGGAGCCAATGAACCGAGAAACAGGAACAGAGGACGAGGAAAATGAAAAGAGATGGAAAGTTGCAACAGCACGGGCAGGGCAAACGCCTCTCAAAAGCTTCCATGTCATCACCAGTCAAAAGGGTGATGGTGTTAAGCCAAAAGGTGCTATACAAGTCATACAAAAGGCATACAATATAAAATGCACTATACGGACGAACCCTTCCCTTCCAGAAGATGTGGTTTGTTGGGGACTCAGTGCTGTGAAACATGATGTCAACCAATTTCCCGCTTTTGTCCATCGAGCGGCACGAGCTTTCTTTGCTCTAGCAGCCAAGAGAAGTACCACGCCACACAAGACCTGCGGCAAAAGCGTATGGCTTGTGGCCTGTGGCTGCAAAGCGTGGATAATTTGCAAACAAGCATAACACATCATATGCAAATAAGGAGTTACATGTGCGGAAGCTTGCACGGCTGGTCTCACAGGATATTTTGTGCTCAAAAGAATCCAACAAAGAACAACTTCCAGTTGTTCCGACTTGTTCCAATAAATTTGAGTGGAATGCTAAGTGACCACTGTACATCTAGTACCAACTTCTACTGACTCATACTGCATCTCTCTGCTGTAAACTTATATTATATTCCTTCCTTGTTTTGACATGTCACACATTTGGAGTAGTCTGCTAGTTCACCCATCGCTGCTTCAATTTGCGAATCTAGCCCTACATGTCCCTGAACTCTTCTGTTCGAGCGGCTGGCCGCAACTTCTTTGGCCCGGAAACAAGACCGGCACCAACACCTTGCACAAACTCATGTTCACAGGACTCATGCACTTGGAAATCCCGACTTCAGGTGTAGGTGGACACAGGCAACACACGATGTACTATTCAACAAAATACATTTACAACATTTCACGACACTGTGCTCCTGTCATTAAGTGTCTCTTGCAGTTTCGCAAGGCGAGTTCATTGGTCATGTGTCATGAGTGAATCACCACTGTGCTGCACATTTTCAAGTATCATGTTCCGAGATAGTAGTAACAAGTGCCACGCTACTAGTAACAAGTGCCTTACTAGTAGTAACAAGAAGCTAGTAGTAACTCTGCCCTTGGCACCTGTTGTTGCAAGGATGCCAGGGAGCCCAAGGGGAGCTCCCGCCATCACCAGGGAGCCGAAGAGCATTCCTTCAGGGAGTACAAGGACTAGGATCCAAAGCTGTTTCAATCGGTGTATCTAGATGATCTAGTCTAGCTTCCACTCTGAGGCCTCACAAAAGACTTTCCTTTGTTTCCTTTCAAGACTGCCAAGTCTCCTGGCGGAATCACCCATGCAGGTACAATGATCAAGTGAGCCAGCAAACCATGCAGAAAGGACTTCACCTGCATGGCGTCGGCTTCGGTCGCCACCCTTACAGCGCAAACGCAATGAAACCATATCAACAATTGAAAACATATGAGAATGTCAGGATCAAAATGGATCAAAAATGATCCAAGGGTCTCTGCCATTGTCGCTTGCCTTCCAGTCCTTCCACGTATTTCCACATGGTCTTTACTTTAGTTCCTGGTCAGTTCCTGGTCAACCGATCAGTCGAGCTTCAGGATAGCTTTGATATCTAGAGTATATACCATGCAGCCTGCTGACTGCCCCACGCTCAAAACAACTACAGTACAAAGACAAAAGAACACAGCAAATTAGCACATTAAAGACACACAATCTGATGTAGCGAATGGATGCGAATGGACCCACTACAAAGAAAATCAAAGCAGAACTTGAGGGCATGTTCAGACTGTGCCCTCTTCAGGACGAGGGCATCTTCCCCAAAGGCTGGCCAGACTCACCCAGAGTGGGTACAAAAGGATTATGCAACTCAGCAAGTTGTGTCCCCGTTTGGCATGCAAAAGTCTAGGTGCATATTAATACGCTCTTGGAAGGCAAGTGACATGGGCTGCATTGGCATGTGCCAGTTGAGGTGACAAATGTCGGACAAGGCGCTGAATCCTGCAAGACTTGGGGGAAGTGAATGCAGGTGAGGACATTGGCTCAGCGACTGCCAAACCAACCCATCTTTCTTGGGGTGCAATGATACAAAGGTTGAAGGCCTCTCAGCTATACGACATGATACGACAAACAAGCGAGCCTCCGCAGCAACTGCGATGGATTCACAATGTGTTTAAGATTGCTGCAACTACATCCCTGTCTGTGTCGCAAATGTCCTTTGCACTTCGATGCCACCATCATCTCAGCGAGCAAGAAGCAATCAAGTTCAACCAATGACTTGATGAAAGTGGGTAAAAGCAGTGGCCATGCAATTGGGAGTACTCCTAAGCATGTTTCCACTGTGTCTTCTTACTCAATAGCTTCGACCTTACGTCGTCGGCCCAATGCAAAATACCATAAAATACCAAGTCCCCTTGATCTGCTCTGACATCGACTGACAGCAACATCACCGCATGAACTGAACCTAATAGCGACAACCTCCAACCTAATAGCGATGGCCTCCAACCTAATAGCGATGGCCTCCAACCAAATAGCAATGGCAACCAACCTAATAGGAATTGATAGGAATTGCTTCCAACCTAATAGTAATGGCCTCCAACCAAATAGCGACGGCTTCCAACCTAATAGCAATGGCCTCCAACCTAATAGCAATGGCAATGGCCTCCAACCCAAATAGCGATGGCCTCCAACCCAATACAGTAGCGATGGCCTAAAACCTAATAGCAATGGCAACCAACCTAATAAGAATTGCTTCCAAATGGCAATGGCAATGGCCTTCAACCTAATAGCAATGGCCTCCAACATACTGTAGTAGCAATGGCCTCCAACCCAACAGCGATGGCCTCCCACCCAATAGCGATGGCCTCCAACCTACAGTAGTAGCAATGGCCTCCAACCTAACAACAATGGCCTCCAACCTAATAGCGATGGCCTCCAACCAAATAGTAGCGATGGCTTCCAACCCAATAATAGCGATGGCCTACAACCTAATAGCAATGGCCTTCAACCTATAACCTTCAAAAAGGTGTTCTGGAATGACCTGCGGCAGTTCATGTAGTTTTGTCCCAGTCACGGATGGCTGGTGAGCTCAACGCCATGTTCACTCCGGTCGAAAGCAAAGTTGTTGTCAAATAAGTTGTATTGTTGCGCAACTCTGTCAGCTCTTCTCACTCCTAACATCTTAACATATGATTGTTGAGAGGAAAGAGATAGACTCTTGGAGATAAAATCGATATAGCTTGTTTCTCTGTTTTGCCAAACGTGAGCATGTTCTGTCGATCTGTAATCCTGCAACTGTCGTTGGAAATCAGTTGTCTAGAGTCTAGGGAGTGATCCGGCAAACGACCGAAAAAGAGGCCGCATGACAGGCAGGTGTACAAAGGTACATGGCAAGTGGAACAATCTGTCGATTCCATCATTTGTGGAACTGAGAACTACTCAGCACACCATCAAATCAAATACATTATACGTAGCTCTTTTCAGTTGCCTTTCAGCTGCTTGCGAGACTACCAGGCATTTCATGGCATTTCCACCACACAATTGTGCATAAAACACATTGATTCTGTGCCTCGGGTGCAACCCATGGCATGACTTCAGGTGATCGCCGAGGACACCGAGGACACTTCAGGTGATCCCCCATGACACCGAGAACAAACATAACTTTCGATCTGAGAACTCTTCCGTGCTGTCCTGAAAAAAAAGGTTTCTCACAGACCGTTTGCTTCACTCATAGACCCATAAGACGCCATAAGACTCGGGCTAAGCCTGCTTGGCAGTGAGAGCGTGGTGTGCAGACTTGTTGACACATTCTTGGTCAAAATGGTCCATCATCTCTAGCAGGAATTTATTTACAAAACCACTGGCTGCACGATCCCCAAATGCTGATGCATGCATTGTAGATTTTCTGTTGTTGAGAAGCTGCGCGGATCCAAGACGTCAAAGAGGCACTTCAGCAAACCAATCTGTGTAGTTTTTATGGTGAATCAGAGAAAGCAATGATGATTGTATCCCTTACAGCTACAAGTCTGAAATCAAAAGCAAGCTTGGCAGAATCTACCAGTAGGAGAACCCTTGGCCATACACTCTGCAAAGCAAGATTTCATGCACACTTCAATGAAGCAGTGCTTCTCCTTGCCATTTCACATTTGATCCCGGGATCCTGGCGGGGCGACCTGGCACACCAACGGAAAAAAAAAAAAACACAAAAACAATCCGCGGAATTGATGGTGTTGTTGACTTCATGCTGTGCCGGTGGTTCAAGCACTGGTCCTGTCCATCCACGAATCGCGCAGAAAACTGCCTGCCACATCGCGCAGAAAGCGGTCTGCGAAGATCCTCCTTCGTGAAGGGGTGGTCCTGCCCAAATAGTTGGTCAGTTTGTCTTTGAGACCACTGGGCAGTCATTCTAGATTCTGCCAAAAGGTCATGGGCTGAGGTATCTGCCTTTCTTCTGCTTCAAAGCTACTATATACAAGGTGTTAAACGAAAGAGATGGAAAGCGCGGCATGGTGTACAGCAATCATAATATGACAAACAAACAACATCCCTCAAGCCTCAAAGCCACACAACTCTTGTGCTCCAAGACTTCGAAGAAGTAAGGACACAAACGCAAAGTAGCCTTCATACTTATCACCGTGGCTAGTGTCCACCTCTGAACAGGATTCATGCCAAAGTATCTGCAGTCACCTCTCAACTTCGACTCTCTGTGTACCTGGCTCACATCCTTGGCAAGTGCCACTCTATGGATGTCCGTATCACTTGAAGCCTCAATTGCTTCACAAAGGAAACTCCATCACAGCACCCACGGTCCCAGCATCGCAGCAACTGGGCACCATTGGCACCAGAGCCCGCCATGACAACCCTTTGAAAACTGAGACTTTGGTTGCAGCTTGAACTGGGTAAGGAAAGTGCGATCTGGCTGTACTATGTAAACATAATGTTCGTGCATGCACAGAAACATCTACTGTAAACTGAACCACACTTGACGCCAGCAAACTAAGTCATAAGGCTCTTGCGGTGCCAATGAACATCGAACTGACAGGACATGTCTTTCTTGTGCTTTTGAGATCCTCAAACGACTCCTCTCAAGGTATCCGGAGCCAGAAGCTTTGAACATTCATTCTGAAGCCATCGCTGTTGCAGGAATGAGAGACAGACAGTCCGTCAACGGTCCTAGGCCGCTTCCAGTAGCATGTATATTTGGGTAGTGTACTTTGGCAATATGTTGTTGCCATGCCCGTATCAAGAAAGCTTGAATCAAGTCAACTACTTCTACTCCCTAGCGCTACCGGTAGGATAGCTGTACTTTTTTCGCAACTACACGGACTACACGTAGAAGACAAAGTCCTTGAGCCTCCTGTGCACCTACTAATCTTTTGGGGTAACCATACAAAGGTTTGCCCTATTGTATCGTATGGCCTGATCTTTTTTCCATCTTTTTACGGACAACCAGTTCAATCCAAATGACCTATATATGTTCATGCTGGAAACAAATCCACCTTCTGCGTCTAATTGGGCCTCGTGGTCACTTAATCGTGCCAATGGGGTGCACCGTCTAACAAATGTGTCGATAGCACATGGTTGGTGATGCAGGTCGGAGTATTATACAAATATAATATAGTAGTTTACAACATAGTTTAACAGTTTAACAACTTGATATACAGTTAAGTTATATAAATATATACAAATCGGAGTATGTACAACCCCCAGGATGGCTTGCCTCCCTTTCAGATGTGGGTTCCTCTCAGGATCGGCCATTCTTGCGCTGCTGGATCCACCGAGAAATCAACTAGGAAGAATCCCCAATCAATGGCTTGGTTGCCTCAAAATCGAAGTGTCACTGTGCTGTAGCTGCGCAGCATGCACTGGATTCGGTCACTCTGCACGGAAGCCCTAGGTACTTACAAGAAGTTCACGTCCAATTTCGCACCCGATTCGCGCTTTCACTGGAGCGGGGAACGCACCTCGACTGAAGGATTGATGGCATATCGCTTTAGCATGTCAGGGCCATCGCCCACCTGTACCCAGAGCGATCACTTGCACCCAGAGGCTGGACGTGAAATCGCATGTCACGGCAATGAAACTTGCCAAGACAATGACGTGGAGCTCCCAAGGTAGGTTGCCAAACAAAAAGGTGTCTCTTGGCAACAAAAACCATGCAAAAACATGCCTTCTCCAGCGTCAGC